TTTTCCTCTCCAGAAGGGAGTCTCTGCCTCTTCCACCTCAGTTAGGATTGTCCGTTGTTGCAGGAGTTCCTCTTATCCAGTTTTCAGTTCTGTCTCAGGGATAATTTTTCCACGAGTAGTTGTAAATTGGCTGTGTCCACGGGAGGAGGTGAGTTCCGAGTCTGCCTACGCCGCCATCTTGACTTCCCCCTGAATTTTTAAATACCTGTTTTGTTTTTCTTTTAAACCATAGTTCACCATGGGAACAAAAGATAAATTCAGTTATTTTTTTTAAACTCTTGCATGCCTCTCATATTTTTATGCGTTTGTCTCTGATGAAGTAAGCCACATCTGATAAACACCTATTGTTGTGAACAATCGCCTGCTGTTGTTTTTTAGCTTCTTGGTCCATCGCACATGTAAACTGGCTTACACACAAACACGTGTATCCCCATCTACCTGTATTTACTAAACATTAATTTATAATGCCTTACCAACATCAAGCAGAAATTTTGGGTCTCAGAAAGTTGATGATTTTTCTCTAAAATTTTGATTTTGTAAGTAAAAAAAATTGTTTAATTTAAAATGTTATTTTTTTTTTCCTTTAAAGATAGAAGTCCTCATAGATTTAGGATTCTTTTCTGAAGCCTTTCATGAGATATCTCAGATTTTTAATGGAAAAAACATGTCTTCCTCAATTCCCACTGGCAGTAAAGCTACTGGAAAAATGAAGGTAAGTCTGTTGATTTGACTCAAAGCCATTTCTTTAAATTTTGAAGGCTACATTCCTAAAATCTAGGGAATGTGTCCACAAAAGTGTATTTATAAGACTCTGGTACTGCAGACCTCATTGTTAAGCCTGGTTATAGCTAACATCGAGCTTTTACAAGGCTTCATTTCCTTTCATTTGAAATGGAAGGGTGTCTCGGGGGGAGTGTGGTCTTAGAGTAGATTTTTGCAATGAAATTCTGGCTCTATGCTGTAGTTATCATGCGTATTCTCAGTAGACACATTCATCAGCCACTACCTCTCAGACTTTTGAGTCCAATCTTATAATTTTGGTTAATGTTCTTTTTCAAAACAGTCTCTCCTGTTTCATTTGGATATTTTTGATTTATATACTATATACTAAAGAGTTAAGCATGTGTTGTTCAAATTTCTTCTGATTTCTGTGAGGAGAGAATGTTCCTCTATTTTGCCTAGTGTTTTTTGACTTTGGGAGATAGTTTTACCTGGCTTGCTTAATTTGTATTTGTAAATTGGATAACTGAAGCATCCTTGAAAATGAATACTGGCGTTTATATTTAAATCAGAGTGAGCTGTTATTTTTCTCTGCTTCGGTTTCGTGGTGACCTGGGAATCCCTGGGCGATCTTGCTTTAGGCAGATGCTTGGACCCTCGTATGCCAGCAATAAAGGAAAGAGGAGGAGGTAACAAGTCAGCTTCCTGAGGGAGACCGTATGTGTGAGGAGTGAGACTGACAGACACAGTACGTTCTGGAGGGATTCAGATTTGGAGGACCTAAAAGAAACTGGGGAAGAGGCTGGAGGTCTTGAACATTGCTCGCATAAGCTGACATTATATTTACATATAATACATTTATAACTTCAGTGTATTCTCCCAAAACGTAGCTGCTTATTTCTTATACTGACTGCTACAGCGTTATAGTTTATTGTAATAGGGTAAGTATGAGGTTATCTACAGAAAATCCTAAGCGGGGCATTCAGTAGGCAATAGGATATGTGTGTGTGTGTGTGTGTGTGTGTGTGTCTATATGTATATACATCTATATCTATCTATCTATCTAGAGAGAAGTCAGTCAGTTTCTCTAACATGAACTAATCTTCTTACCTGGGTTAAATTAGCATATTTTCTTGCTTGCTTCTCAGTCAACAGCCTTTCCCTATTGTAAATGGTTTGCATTTTGTTATTAAAGTTATATTTAATTCATTTAAAAATATTTATTGAGTGCTCACTGAATACAGGCACTATTCTAGGCATGGGGATAGAACAGTAAAAAGATAAATGGAGTTATTGCCTTCCTGGAGGCATGTTACCATTGGACAGTCCAGTGAGGAAGACAAACAATAACATATTAAGCACATAAATGTGTCAGGTGGTAAGGTGCTATGAGGGACAATCAAGCTGAGTTGAGGGGACAGAGAGTGACCAGAGCAATGGGTGGCTGTTTTATTCAGGGTGGCTTGGGAAGTCTCTCTAATAAGGCAGTTTTGAGGGAAAAGATTTCAGGGAACAATCTCCCAAATAGGAGGAAGTTCAAGGGCAAAGGCCCTGAGGGAGTGTCTGCAAAATGTGGTTGAGGGAAACCGAGGCGGCCAAGTGAGGCGGGAATAGAGGAAGAGGAGGAGAAGAGGCGGGACCCAGGAGCTAGGTCAGGTAGGACCTCGCAGAGCTGGGTGAGGACTAGAGTTTACTAGTGAACTAAACGAGGTGGAAAACCTTGTAGCGTTTTGAGCAGAGGAGTGACAGGATAGGCGTTAAATTTCGAAGGAGCACTTTACTTGCTGTTTGGGGAATAGACTGTGGATGAGCATGGGTATAAATAGGGAGACCAGTTACCAGTTATTTGCAAAGGCCTTTGCAAATAATCTGAATGAGACGTGACAATGGTTGGGATAATAGTGGTGGAAGGAGTGAAAAGTGGTCAAATTCTGGATATATTGCAAAGGTAGAGCTGACGATGATCGTTTGCAAATAGATCACCCATTTGCTGATGATGGTTCGGATATGGGATGTAAGAGAAAGGAGTCAAGCATGACTGCAGAGTGTTGAACATGAGCAACTGGTAGGAAGAAGTTTTTATTAACTGAGATGGAGAATACTGCTCCGGGCAGGGGTGGAACATGTTAAGTCCGAGATCCCTGGTAGACATAGAGGTGGAGGTGTAGTGTAGGTGACTGCAGAGAGTATATGATGGGAATTTAAGGGAGAGGTTGGGGCAAATTTGGGAGGGTAAATTTGGGAACATTAGTGTAGAGATTTAAAATCTGGGTGCGGCCTGGTGGCGCAGCAGTTAAGTTCACAAGCTCTGCTTCAGCGGCCCGGGGTTTGCCGGTTCGGATCCTGGGCGCAGACCTACTCACTGCTCATCAAGCCATGCTGTGGTGGCGTCCCATATAGAAGAGCTACAACTCTACCACTATGATATACAACTATGTACTGGGGCTTTGGAGAGAAAGCAGAAAAAGAGGAAGATTGGCAACAGATGTTAGGACAGGGCCAATCTTCCTCAAAAAGCAAAAAAAGTTTAAAATCCTGAAACTGAATGAAATCAGCTGGTGACCAAGGCAGATAGAGAAAAGTGGAAGTCAGAGGACTGAACCTTAGGGTCATCCACACGTAGAGTCCAGGAAGATGAGAAGGAAAGAGAAGCCATTGGATAGAATGAGAAACAAGAGAGAGTTTTCAATGCTCATTGCTTTCACCAAAAAACAAACAAACAAACAGGCTGAAACTAATTTTTACAGGTAAATGCCAAACTTCATTTTTATCAACTAGTTTTCATAAGACAGAAGTGTGGGTAAACTGTCTCCCAATGGATTGTAACTTTAAATTTTTGTATTCTCAAAGTTAATTTGCAGCTTTCCAGCTTCTATTGGGAATTTAAAAAGTGTAATTAAAAGGGGAAATGCGTTCAGGGTTTATAATTAAAATAGGTGCCAATGTTATTAGGTTGCAGGCTAGTTATTTACAGAAAGGATTAACGAATTAGATTTCAGTTGTAAAAGAAATAACTGAAAAAGTCTTACAGATGACTATTAGACTTTTCACAGGCTTTTAAAAACATTCTATCTTTCCAATGGGGATTCTGCCCTCATCTCCAAATCTAAAGTCCCATCAACTGTCTTCAGATTATATCACAAAAGTTCTCCCCCCAGATTCAGTTACTCACTTTTCGGTGTATTCTAGGAGATAAAGAGTATTTTCAAAAAAGGAAATTTTAAAAAATTTTTTAACACTTGCCAATACTTTCTTCCAATAAGAGATATATGTGATGTCTTGGTTTAGGGGTCCCTCAAAAGCAGATCCTGAGATAAGGATTTGGGAGCAAGTAGTGTATTTGGGAGGTGACTCCAGGAGGAATGGTGAGCCAGTGGGAAAGTCAGATAGTGAAGGGAGGAAGACCATTCCAGAGAGCATTAAGAGGTCACTGCCGTGGACAACCAGGGCCTTCAGAGGGAGTGGGTGGAGGAATCTCTTGTCCCTCCTTGGTTCGGGTTGCTCTCTGAACTTCCAGCCTCTCCTGGACACTCTTGTGGCCACAGAATGCCTTCAAGCAAAGAGGTACATGTCCTTGAAGTAGGATACCGTCCATACGTGAATGACCTGTCCACGGAAGCTGCTGGTGACCCCCAGGTGACCAAGGGGATATGGAAGGGGCATCCGTATTGACTTCTACAAATGAGCACCTTTTAAAAAGGCCTTCTGTAGCAAGAGGAATGCACGCTACAGGACAATACAACAATCTCCTGTGGCAAATAAATGCAATGTTTCTTAAAGCAACCTTATATTTAGAGCCAAATCTGTTAACAGATAATTCACAAAAAAAGGAAAATAACCACAAAAAGAGTCATTCCAAAGAGTAATACAATTTTACCTCAAACTGGCAAAGATGTTTTCCAGTGCTAATACCCAGTGCTGTTAAAAGTGCAGTAATCCTGGCATTTTCATACAACGTGGATGGAAGTGTAACCTGAGCCAGCCCCTTTAAGTTCTCTCAATATACTCTTATTTTCTGACGCAGCAATTCTGCTTCCAGGAATCCATCCAGAGGCGATAATCAGAAATACAGACAGAATAGCCAGCAATGTTATTTAAACTAGGAAGGGAGCGGTGACGATGGGAAGTGGGCCTCTTGGATGTCAAACAAGAGGAAAGAGGTTAAGTTATTATGCTACATTCATAGGATAGAACATGACCTAGCTATTAGACTGAGGTTTACAAAGAACTTAAATGGAGTGGAAAATAATTATGACTCTTTAGGAATGTTAAGTGAAAAGGAATACAAATCCAGATATAAAATTTAAAAATATATCGAAAAGAAATCAGTAGTAAAGACATCAAAATATTAACATTGACAACCTAAAAAAGTCGGTTTAAATATGATTTTTACTTTCTTCTTTATACCAAACTCCTCTTTTCTGACTAGAGCATGTATTACTTTTACAATAAAAATGATATTTAAAATACTGTTTGAACACATTCACAATTTCATTTAAAGGAATACTCAATACTCTTGTGTCTAATGTTAATGTTTTGTGTATTGACAGATGTTTCAATCATTTGACTCAGGAAAACCTCTTACTAGTAAAGAAAATATACAGGTAAGGATAATAATATTTTATAAACGTTGGATATTTAGTATGGATAATTTTTGAGTCATTTCAATCTATTTGCTAGGTATAATCTTTGCTTTTGAAAATCTGCCATGTAACATTCTCTTCTATTTCTAATAATGGGTTTTTATCTCAAAATGCTGAGGCCAGAGATAGGATTGGAGCCAAACTGATCTGGTTTTCAGATTGGGCAAATATCAGTTACTGCTCCTAAAGTTTTCAATTACACATGTGTATTCAGCCATGTTAAGTGTCTAACTTTAACATTTATTTTGATTACCTAGATGATAACTTTGTAAGAAAAGGATTGTGTATATTTTGTGATAGCACACTTGTTCAATACTGCTTTTACTCATTTCCTTTTCCCCAGTCTGAGATTGCCTCTCCGCCAATGTTTGGAAGGTTTTCTTTTGTTTTTTAAAACCTTTTATTGAGACATAATTGACATATAACATTGTGTAAGTTTAACATGTGTACAATGTATTGATTTGATACATATATATATTGCAATAATATTATCATCATAGCATTAGCCAGTGGAAGGTTTTCATATGACATTTTCATAAGCAACTCCTCTACCTTTCCCAATATTTTCTACAAAGAGAGGACTCGACTGCTCACCTCAATCCATTTGTTCTTGTCTATATTGAATGATTGGGATTTAAGCTTTTGATGACCTAATAGCATTTAAATATCTTGAAATCATTTAAAAAAATCTTAGGAGTGTCAACAGTCTGTCCACTAGAAAGTATTAGAGCAGAAGACTGGTGGTTCAACTTATGGGTGGGTGAGGGGTTCATATAACCAGGTGACAATTAATGCATATAGACAGATACACATAGTTCTTATTATTTAAAATGCTAGGAAACAGCATTCTGTTTCATTAAGTAAGGTATTTATTTTTTAAAAATAATTTTGAGAGACATTTCCTCAAAATTGCTTTATTTTTGTCTTCCATAATTTTCATAGGAATATATCCACCATCTATTAAATGTAGTTTTATTATGTTTCTATTATTGTTCGTTTTATTCCACAAACTTCACTTTTAATTATGCTTCAGACAATTCATTGTGTTTGCCTTAAAATTTGTTTTAATTTATAAGCAAGTTGCTTGAAATAAAAGAACTGTTGTTAGAAATATACAAACACACGTTCATACTTCATTTTAGTGTCCAAGACGTTGGGATGTTTAAGAATATTTATTTCTTACTGGTCATAAATGCCAGGGCCTCCTAAGAACACTTCTTTAAGGAGAGATTTTGGGTATAGAAGGAATGCCTGCCTGCCTGATCATTTCTTTTTAAACAAAAAGACAGTGACAGTATAATGGAAAATCAGTTTCTATTAGCCAATTAATTTAAAACAGAACTTTTGGTCTGCTTAAGACTCTTCAGATTACGCTTTATATTTTCTGTATAGAGGGAGAGAAAGGAGTGTTAAATAGCATTACTAATTAATCTTCTTTTGATCCTCAAGTGTTTGTGTATAATTGTCAAGGCTCATTAAATCACTGTGGAAAGAAAAGAGAAGAGGAACTTTCCCTTCTCCCCCATCCCCCAACCACCCTGCAGTTTCTTCTCTAGATGGGGAATGTCAGCCATCTTCCTAGTACAGCCGTCTGTTACCAACACAGTCTCAGTGCTGCTCTATATCTGGCTCTTCTGCATGTATCGATTTCCACCCTTCAGATGAGATTAAGAAAAGAGAATGAACAATAGCAACAGACCTCCCCACTGCCAACTTTGCCTCAAACTCTCCCAAACAATGAGATTTTTCTTTTTTAGTTCACCTAAGGCAAACAGTTTCCTTCTTTTCTAGAATACATAGCCCCAACATCTGCCTTTTATATTAATTCAACAAATATTAAATAAGAGCCCATCATGTGTAAGGCACTATTCTGGTGCTGTCAAATAAATACATCAGTCAATCAACAGTACACACAAATTCCAAGCCCTCAGGGAAGACTAGTAATAAACATGATATATAAGTAAACATTATAAGTAAATTATATGGTATGTTAGAAGGTGTACCATGCTATGGGGAAAATAAACCCAGCAGCGTGTAAAGGCGATTAGAAGCATGGGGCAAGGTTAGGGGTTGTAATTTTAAATGGGATGGTCACGTTATTCCTCACTGAGGTGATGTTTGTGAACAGACCTGAAAAAGGTAAAGGCGCAAATCATATGCAATCTGGAGAAAGAATAGTCTAGGAAGAGGGTACAGTGAGTGCAAAGACCCTGGGGCAGGATTCCCTAGCTTGGTGAGGGGCATTGTGGCTAGTGTGGCTAGAATTGTGTGAAAGATAGGAGAGCATAGGAGATGAGGTCAGTGAGGTAACAGGCAGCCAGTTTGAGAAGGGCTTTCTAGGGCCTTTGTAGCTTAGGTTCTTACTCTGAAAAAAATGGGGAGCCACTGGAGGGTTTAGAGCAGAGGTGGCCTAATCTACTTATGTTTTAAAGGGATCACTTTAGCTAATCTGTTGAGCCTGCTGTGTGCTGGGTACTATTCCAGTGCTGTCAATCAGACACATCCGTCAATCAACAATACAGACAAATTCCCAGCCCTCATGGAGCCTATATTTTAGTGTTTTGTGTGTGTGTGTGTGTGTGTGTGTGTGTGTGTGTGTGTGGTTGGGGAGACTACGAATTCAGTTTTGGACATGTTGAGTTTGAAGTATCTGTTAGACATCTAAGTGGAGGAATTGGGTCAGAAGTTGATGATATGAGTCTTGAGTTCAGAAAAGAGATTGGAGCTGGACAGGAAAATTTGGGATTCTGTCAGCCTTTAGATGAAATTAAAACTGTGAGACTGATTAAGATCATCTGAGGAGAGAGAGTGAGGAGAGAGAAGAGAATGGAGCCCTGGGACACTCCAATGTTAAGAGATACAGGGGAAGAGGAGGAACCAGCAAAGGAGACTGAAAAGGAGTGGCCAGTAGGATTGGAAAAACCCAAGGGAATGTGGTGGCTTGAAAGCCAAGTGAAGAAGCATTGTCAGAAGAGGGAATGATTAATAGTGACAAATTTTGCTGATGAATCAAGTACCATAATTCACTGAGTCTTAAACATGCATTTTTTCTCACATTTAACAGCTCTCCAATTAGAATGTATTTTACAGTTGAGGACATGTGACAGTTTAATTGGCATATAGAATAATGGTGTCTTAGATTAAAAGTAACATGGCACATGAGGACTGAGAATTGAACATTGGATTTAGCCCAGTCTAGGCCATTGGTGACCTTGACCAAAGGGTTTCAATGTAGGGGTAGAGTGGGTTTAGAAGCAAAGGAAAGGAGAGAAATTGGAATATTGACAACTCTTTAGGGCATTGCTGTAAAAGGGAGCAAGAATTGCAGTAGTAGCTGGAGAGGGAAGTCAGGGAATGGAGAGTTTTTGGTTTTTTGAGATGAAGGGGAAGATAGCATGGCTGTGTGCTGATGGGAATGTCTCTGTAGAAAGGGAACATTTACGATGCAGGAGAGAATGGCTGACTAGACCAGTGGGGGCAGGATTGATGGCCTAAGTGGCAGGAAGGAAGGCAGAGCGGTGGGGCAGATGCTTGGGTGGATGGGAGAGATGGAGCTGTGGGGTCTGTGGACACTACTTTGCTTCAGTTTTCTCCATTAAGTAGAGGAAGCAAGGTCATTAGCTGGGAGGGGCACTGAGGAGGAAGGGTTAGACTTTAGAAATGAGAAGGGCATGAAATGGTTGTTGAGGAAAGAGGAAGAGTGAATGGACCAGGAACATGTAGGATGATGACCAGGCAGCACTGAGGTTTTGTCAGGAATTTAAAGTGGGACCACTTAGCACGATTGTGTGATTTTCTTCAGCCTTCTTCAACTGCAGGGTGCATTCCCCAAGAAGGTTCAGAGTTGGATTTTACCAGGGCTAAGATTTTGCCAAGGAAGTGTGGATGCGCGGGAGAAGGGCCAGGGAGTTGAGCGTGTACACAAGGCAGAGTTCTAATGATTGAGCGTGGAATCGAAGCTGGGTAGGGAGCTCGCTTGTCCACCCATTCTCCTCTCTCCCTGTGCTGGTAGCTCTCGTTTGCTCACGCTAAAGCAGAGTGGCTGGTGTGCATGGCTAATGAGCTTTTGCAGTTTCTCTGTTTTGATATGGTTCCCTCCCTCGCTCTCAGTGCCAAGGTCACTCTCATTATGTGGCCAGGCTGAGCTCATGAGGCACAGGTCACAAATTGTCACAAGTTGGTGGGGAATAGCAGAAGCACTGTGGAAATGCTGGAATAGTTCTGACATTACATGTCTCTCTCAATAAACCTGGCATTTTTTGTACCTCATGTCTATCCCTATATTCCTTCATTAAGCAGCAAATGGGGAACGCAGAAGGGGGACTGAAGCTAATAATATCTGAAAACGATCTTTTACTAATTTGCCTTTTTTCATTTTTTTAGGCACTCGATGAATTAATAAGTAAAGACTTGCCTCTAATTCTGGTTGCAATTGGCCGACAACATCTCTTAAATAAGTTTTCTTTTGTTAAAGCATACTTTTTCATAAATGTGGCTGCAACAATAAATCGTGTCCCAGAAAATACAATGAAAACAGTCTACCAAGGACTTGTTTCTGAGAGGAGCAGAGCAAACCCCCCGAACTTGAAAGGTAATCTTTTGTTTTATATTTTGCTTGTTTCTCTTTTTCCTCCCTTTCCCCAACTGTTCTCCACTCTACCCCCAATAATCCACATGAACAGTCTGGTATATATTCCTCTGTATTTTTCTCTGAGCTCACTTAATGATACACATATGTGCTTATATCTAGGTACGTGCATATCCATATCCATCCATATATAGCCATATTCATACACTTTTTCATATGTATACGTACAAAATAGGATTTGTCCTTTATTTCCAAACTGGTATATTTTACATTTCTTTGCATCTTGCATTTCTCATGCAGAAAAACTTCGCTGAAACCACGCCAAGTCCACTGCTTTGCTTTGGTCCACTGTACCCCCGCTGTGTAGTAGCTGTGCTGTGAACGTCCCACGGTTTATCCAACCATTCCCCTATCGACGTGCATTTACTTTGTTTCTAGGGAACAGTGCTGAAGCGCTACATATCCATATATTACAGTATATATTTCTTTCTTTTTATTTTGCAAGGAGAACTAGCCCTGAGCTAACATCCGATGCCACTCCTCCCCTTTTTTCTTGAGGAAGACTGGCCCTGGGCTAACATCCATGCCCGTCTTCCTCCACTTTATATGGGACGCCGCCACAGCATGGCTTAGCAAGCGGTGTGTCGGTGCGCGCTCGGGATCCGAACCTGCGAACCCCGGGCCGCCGCAGCAGAGCGCGCGCACTTAACCGCTGCGCCACCGGGCTGGCCCCTACAGTATATATTTCTATGGGATAAGATACCCATGGATGGGATTTATGGGTCATGGTGTACATGGATTTCTCAAATGTATTAGATGTTGCCTTACAAATAGTTGTTTTTCACCATTACGTGTGATGTTAACTGTGGGTTTCTCGTAGATGTTCCTTATCAGGTAGAGGAATTTCTCTTCTATTCCTAGTTGGTTAAGTACTTTTATCATGAAAGGGTATTGGATTTTATTAAATGCCTTTTCTGCATCTATTAAGATGATTATTTGGTTTTTGTTTCTTATTCTATTGATATGATGCATTATATTAATTGATTTTTGAGTGTTTAATCAACCTTGCTATATGGGATAAATTCCCAAGCCCCTGGTGTGTAATTCTTTTTATATGTTGCTGTATTCTGTTTGCTAGTATTTTATTTAGGATGTTTGCATCCATATTCATAAGAGATATTGGTGTGTAGTTTTCTTTTCTTTTGGTATCTTTGTCTAGTTTTGGTGTCAGAGTAATATTGGCCTCTGTTATAGAAGGTAAGTTTTATTATTATTCAGGTATGGCGAGGCCAGCAAATCGGGAGATGACTGCTATTGAACACATAGTTTGTTATTTCCTCCCAAGAGGATGGGCATGCTACAACATGGGAGGGCCATGCAGGGAAGGGTCACCCAGGAGGCTGAGAGAGCAGTGAGGAAAACGTGGGTCAGACTCTTCCTTGGGTCTCTCATGTTCTGACACTCATCCCAGGGTTCTTCCATACCAACCTCCAGGCATTCGTTTTCTATCTTTGTCTCTCTCTCACTTTCTCCCTTAGGGGAGAAGGCCCAGTCCTAGGTCTTCCTGCTGGGACTTTCCCAATGCTCAAGCCCTCCCTCATACTCAGCTGACCCCTAGCTCCAGAGCCTCCTAATTTAGGAAAAGAGCCAGGTAGCTTGGAGTTGGAAGAAGAGAGGAAGTCAGGTGTGTTCAGTCCCATATTATTCTAGACTCCCTCTTCCCACTTGGCAAACTATGTGTCTTTAGGTGGGTGATTTTTGCAGTAATTTCTATTCAAATAATGACTTGTAGTTTTTCTCTCTCTCCTGTAGTCTAGAAGCTAAGTTTACTAAAGCAGAAAAAGTCTGTGATCTAAATTCTCTCAATTCTCCCTGGCTCAGAATAAGAGCTGGCTTCAGATTGTGGGTGGGTATTTTGAGAGATTTGAGGATTGTGCTGTTCCAAATGTGTCTCACTCTTTGCTCTTACAATGAGGGGCTTGTGCAAATCAGCAGAACTAATGCTTCCAAGGAGATCTTATGGAAATATTATAAATATTTGGAAGACCCAAAATACTATGAGGACCTTAAGGGGTCCTGGGATCCAAGCGGAGGAACCATCACTTTATTTCAGTAGCTGATAACTTGAATAACATCCAAAATCATCACTAAGCATCCAAAAGATTCTTTCGGAGTGGTCAGATTTATTTTAAGAATCAGCCTGAGTCTTCTAATGTATGATATTAGAGACTCTTTGATACAGCAATAGGTTTCTAATTATCATTGTGGTTGTTTTTTTAACATTAAATTTATGGATAGTTTCCCAACTAATGACAAGTTTTATAGACTTGAATTAATATTTAAACTAACTGGAGATATCCTTGGTTCTTCCAAAATTTTGTGTCTTATAGAGCTATGTTTAAAGGAGGATAGAAACTCAATTTATCAGCTTCCAAAAATGAAAGATGAATTAACTCTTAGCACAGTAAAGGTAAGTTTGAGAATTTTTTCAAATCATAGTATATCAGTTACCAAAATGCCCACTTTTAGGCCCTGGACGGGCCCACTTTCAGGGTTGTGCTTGCTCTCGGGAGACCAGGTAGCTTTTCTTGCATAAACATGGGTTGGGGCCAGAGATGGAGTCTGCTGCCTGTGAGAAAAGTAGATGCCCAGAAGGTCAGACTTTGACTTTACAATCCTATTAAGGCACTGTGGAAAATGTGATTCGTTACTTGATGGGATTGAGTATTCTACACCCTGTTTTTGCATTTCCTAACAGTAATAGTGATGACAACAGCAACAACAGTAGCTACTATTTATTCAGCGCTTACTACATGAAAGGCACTTTGCACGATTATTTAATTTTCACAACTCTTTGATGTAGGTATTAATCATTTTTGAACTATGTTGTGCTGAATGGTGAGTAAATTGAGGCTTAGACAGTAAGAAATTCACTAGTGTCATACAACTAATAAAATACAGATCATGTGGTTAACCATTACACTAAATTAACCTAGTACTTATATAGTATTTACTGTTCTGTACAAACAAGTTTTTAGAGATTTGTTCCTTGAAAAATTGGTTGGTCCCTTTCTCTTTTGCCATGTCAGGTTGCTATTGACTATTGACTGACCTCTGTAAAACCTCATTATCTTCTCATCACCAGTTGGGTGACCATAGTTTAACTCGAAATATAGTCGATCCTCATTATTCACAGATTCAGTATTCGCTAATTTGCCTATCTGCTAAAATTTATTTGTCACCCCAAAATAAATACACGTGGCTCTTTTGTGGTCATTTGTGGACATGCGCAGAGCACAGATAAATTTGGGTTGCCCAACATGCACATTTCCCGCTGAGTTGAACAAGGCAATGCTCTTTTTGTTTCTACTCTCACGCTGTAAACAATTATCCTTTTCATGGTCTGTTCATTATTATTCTTTTTTTTTCCTGCATTTTTCTGCTTTTGTTTGTTGGCGATTTCACTACTGGAAATGGCCTCTAAGTGTAGGGCTGAAGTGCTGTTTAGAGTTCCTAAGTGCAAGAAGGCTGTGATGTGCCTAATGGAGAAAATAAATGTGTTAAATAAGCCTCAGTCAGGCATATATTATAGAGCTATGGGCTGTAAGTTCAAGGTTAGTGAATCCACAATATATATTAAATAATATGTCTTTAAATATAAACACCCATTAAACAAGGTTATGTATCAATCAGTTGACAAATATGTTGTGACAGAGGCTCTCAGGAACCTATCCCTGTGTTTCCTCTAGGAACAATGGTTCGGTATTCGCTAATTCGGTGTTTGCAGCAACTTTGTAGCACATAACTACACGAATAATGAGCGTTGGCTGTGCATACAATGAAAAGTTCCTGTTGTATAGGCTTACTCCTGCCATTACTTTCCTTCTCATTCTCTGCTCTCTTTTTCCTGTTCACTGAGCTCTTTTCTCTAACGATTATGTTCAAATTTCCTTTTTGGTCTTCCACTCATCGTTACTTTTCAGTACATGAAAAATATGTAATGACTAAGAATGAGACATTATTTCTGAACTTATGTGATTGTGTGGTGTTCCTTCTTTGTAGTCAATTCTGCTGATGGAAGCTGAAGACAAGCTAAACCTCCTCGTGTCAGAGATGGAGAATCTAGGCCACAAGAGCCTCTCTCTGTGTTCTGCTGCCGAGTTAGAGATCGTGGTGGAGGCCAGGCTTCAGCTGGCAGCAGTTGCCCTGCAGAGACACCAGGCGGCATACAGGTGAGTCTCTTCACGCACGGAAGAGAGTTTCTTCCCCACCCTTGTTTGTTAAACATACCTAAATTATATGTAATTTTTATAAACTCTTAGAGGAATAAAGCATATTTACTTTTTATTATTCAGGAGAGTTTTCATACATTATTATACTTAAAATAATTGCTTTATTAAAGCCCACAGCTAGGATGTTTTATGTCATATAAAGAATGAACAAAGTAACAGAGCTTGCTTTTTTATTTATTTATTTTTTTAAAAGACAGCACCTAAATTCCTGACAGCTTTTTACGAATAAAACCTATGGAATGTTGGTTTTTTTCCCTAAACAACCAATAAAAATATTAAAAATAAGCTCTACTTTGAAAGAGTAACATCTGAACTATGTTGTGCTGAACCACTTAAGAAATTGTTGTAGGTGGCTGATGATTTAAATGTGATGCAATTGTTAGTGTCAGATCTTTAATTTAACTTGTTCATTGATTCATTTACACAACCAATATCTGTTAATGACCTCACTGTCAGGCTCTGATCTAGACACCAATGATACAAAGATGAATAGAATATAGTGCCTGTATCCATATGTTCATAGACATGTAAACAATTAAGTAGAGTGGTAAAAAGTAATACTTTTCAGTGATTTTTTTACATTTAATAATATGGAAATATACTTTCAAGAACTTCCCATATCACTTGTGATAAACACTTCTAGCACGAGGGCCTCTGACATTTTCAGTGATGATTCTTTGAATAATGCACAAATTTTTTATCTTACCATTCATTAATTCATTTGAAAAACAGTTTTTGAGCACCTACAACATGTGAGGCACTGTTCTAAGTTCTTGAGATATATCAATATCCCAGTACTGATATATACAATGTAGACAAAATTATAACAATATTGACAAAAATCCTACTCACATGGAGTTTCTATTATAATAGATAATAAACAGGCTAACAATAAACTATAAACATAATAATTAAGTAAATTATATCATGTGGGCAAAAATGAAAAGTATTACAGAGACTATCGGGAATGGAGGCAGGGAAGGAGGAGGAGTCATCATTTTAAAATTATGTGGTTGGAGCCAGCCCTGGTGGTCTAGTGATTAAGATTCGGCACTTTCGCTGCTGCGGTCTTGGTTTGTTTCTCCGTCATGGAACCACAGCACCCGTCTGTCAGTTGTCATACTGTGGCAGCTGCTCACATAGAGAACTAAAAACCAACAACTAGGATACACAACTATGCACTGAAGCTTTAAAAACAAAAACGTTATGTGGTTGTAATAAGGAGTATTCGATGGCTGACAGCTTTCAATCTCTACCACTCCCCCTTCTCCTTCTGCCCCACATTTGGGCAGTCAGATAAGAAAGCCTAGCTGCTCTCACCTTTGGTGCTGGTGGGAAGTTTAAACCACGCAGACCCTGGCCCACACATGGGAAACCATACCCCAGAACTATCCATTAACCACCATAAACCCCAAGCCAATCTCCTTTCCCTGCTCTCTCAAGACATTTTCAACCTCTTTGGGGAGGCTGCCCTGCTCTTCCTGGAAAGCCTCAGTATCTGAGTAATAAACCTTTTTATACTCTCTTGACATGTGTGTGTGGCATCAATGTTGGCATCTGAACCAAATTTTGGATGGTCAGTGTAGGCCTCATCGATGAGGTGACATCTAAACAAAGTGCTTAAACGAGAAGGTGTCTATGCAAATATCTATAGATAGAATGTTACAGGCCCAGTACATAGTTGTATATCCTAGTCGTAAGTCCTTCTAGTTCTTCTATGTGGGACACCTCCTCACCAGGGCATCTGAACCTGTGAATCCCGGGCCACCTTAGTGGAACGCGTGAACTCAACCGAGCTGGCATCCTCAGAACTATTTTTATAATGAAACTAAGATGTCATTCACCTTCTTCATTGTGTTGTTATTTGCATTGATGCTGCAAAAACAACAGTGGTAAAACTTCCGACATCTCACCATGAATCAAAGCAGTGGCACCAAGCCGTGTCACTGCATTCTTCACTGCTACACACTTGCAATTAAAAAAAACAAGCTGGTTTCACTTAAGAATGCATTTGATGAAGCAGTAGAATCTGTTGCATTTATAAATCCCTATTCTTGAATATATTTTTAATATTCTGTGGGAATTTTAAATGGGAAATACACCTAAAGCATTTCTGCTGCATATCCAAATCTGATGGTTGTCTTGAGGAAGAGCACATTTATCACTGAACTGAGAGCTGAATAAGCTGTTTTTTTCATGGAACACCATTTTTATTTGGAAAAAAACAACTCACAGACTATGGTTATTCAGACTTGGGTATTTGACAGGCAGTTTATTGAAAATGAGCAAAATGAACATGCCACTTCTAGGAAAACAACTATTTGTTGCCAATGATAAAAGCTGAACTTTCGTAGGAAAGTTAGAATTTAGGAAAATTTATATTTGCCACCACAAGCTTGACAGTGTTCTAATGCTGTGTTCTGATGACATTGGTGGTAATACTAATAAGCATCATTTTTTTAAAAAAACTTGTGTGATGAAATGTTTCAACGTTAAGGGGATTTGCATAAGTCAGGGAGCTAATATTTTCCAAATGACCAGTGGATGATGTTCCGAAATCCTGGCTAACAAGATAGACCAATAGGTTTTGTAGGAAACCTATTTCCTACAGAAATAGGAAATATCTTTTCCTATTTCTTTATAGGAAAAGGTCATCAGTGTGTGGTATGAGGTTTTCTACATCTCAAGAAAGTTTTAAGAAAATATCGCTTGTCACATTTTGGTGTAGTATCAAAGAACAGCCAGCCTGCCAGCCCTGGTGGTCTAGTGGTTAAGATTCAGGAGTTGGAATTGACTGATGGCACTGACAACTAAATCAAAGAAGAATAGTTACAATTATTTGAAGAGACTATTAAAATACTCCTCCCATTTCTAACAACCATCTGCATGAGACCTAGTCTTCATGTATTTCAACTGAAACAATATGTCACAACAAACGGAATGCAGAGCAGATATGAAAGTCTTCTATTAAGCAGATTTTCTCTTAAGCCAGATATTAAAGAGATTTGCAAAAATGCAAAACAATGGCATTCGTCTCACTAATTTTTTTGTGTGTGGAAAATACAGTTTTTCGTAAAATGCATTATTGATATTAACGTGCATGGGTTAATTATTTTGATTTTAAAACAAAGTAATAAATAATTAAGTTAAAATTTCTCAGCTTAAGTTCTAATATGGTAAATATTGACGGAGCTCTTTGGGAGTTCTCAATAATTTTTAAGAGTGTAAATGGGGGTGGAGATAAAAAAACTCGAGACCCACTAGTTTAGAGTATTGTCACATTTATAGCTGTCTGTAAGAATACAATGGTAGTTGATTTATGATAAAATAGGCTTAGCATAATAATATACCATTTTCCCCACTGAAATTTGAAGAGAGAAGAAACCTTTACTGTATGATTTCCTATAGAAAATGTATGATTTGAATACATAAAAATATATTTAGAATATATAAATTTATATTTCGAATATATATTTATATATTTAGAATATATTAAAATTTGTTTAGTTTTAGAAACTAAAATATATATTTAAAATATATATTTATATTCTCTCTCTCTGTATATATATGTGCAGAAAATGTATAACTATATGCTTTCCTGTAGAAGAGTATAGAACTCTTTTCTACAAACTGTGATGCAGAGAGCAACAGCAGACCTAGAAAATATTTCTTGTCATTTGCCTTCATTCTTTCCCTGGCTCTCTACACCCTTTTGGCATGGAGGATATGAGTGATTGTTTTTTTAGGGAGGAAGAAGGAAACAAGAAACTAAAAATTACAAAATGGCCACAGAAAGGAGTGTCGTAATAGAACTTTAATTTGACGACCAGATAGACACATGCAAATAATGTGCAAATATACCAGAATCGCTCCTATTTTAAATACATGAACCTGGCCCTTGGGACAAAACCTGCAAAAACTTTGATGTTATTGCCTTTCTGCAGCACAGTTGTCATTTAGGGAAGCCTACTGTCAGGATGAATGAGTTTTTCGTATGTGAACTTTACCCCCCACAAGCTTCTGTTTGGATGCTGCTGAGAGTGTTGGACAGTCCCTTTCCCAGATGATGGTTAGCTTGACATTTCATGATACTTCTAATAAAATTATGTGTCAAGGAAATTGAAAGGCACGTTCCCTAAGGTGACAGGTAGAGTGAGCCACATGGATTTTATGAGAACAAACTGACCATTTTTGTCATGAATGTTAATAAGAAATAAATGAGATCAAAGTTATTCAAACGGTAGTTCTCCTTCTTTTAGGACTGCCTCTCTCTTTCAGAATCTTGTGTGTTTTTTTTTTTTCTTAAATAAGTGTTCCTTTCTGTTCTCCTTTCTATTTAATTTACTGTCAAAATGGGATAACATTTGAGCCTTTTAATTTTGTGTCAGAATGAAACTTCCTTTTGGGATTTTAGACTGTTTATAGTGGATAATCCTCCTACACTTTCTGTCTCTCTAGTGGAGTGGAGAAACTAGAAATTTTCCCTTGGCAGCTAAGCAGTACCAGGTGGATTAGGACATGCTAATATGTTTATATTTTATTCATTAAGTTTTAGGGTTAGCAAGATTTCAAACCTCATACCTCATTTCTCTTGAAGTCAGAATTTGGGCTTCAGAATCAAAAGGGTGGGATGGGCACTGCTTTCTTCTCCCAGGGTCCTCTGGTAGCCATCCGGTGCTGGCCTCCGAAGCCACTCAGTAAACAAGGGGCCTTAGCAACGTGTGTGTATCCTTTAGGAGGAAGGGTGTGGGGGAGAGGCAATTCCATACCTGTATACATGCGTTACGTTCTTTGTTGTTGTTTTCTTGCTTTGTTTACTTCTATTTTAAATAAAAACCACTAAGATTATATAATCACAAACAATACATTAGAAAATATTCTACGAATATCTTTACCGTTTTAATGACTCAGTAGAATCTTAATCTTGGGAGTTTAAAATTCAATAATTGCAGAAAGGTTTTGATGCTGGTTAACAACTTAGAAAAAAAAATCTATTTCATCCCGCCCGTATCCCCTGGCCTCCTCAGTACACTAATAATAATAACAGCTAGCGTGTACTGAGTATATCTGTTTGCTAAGCACCCCTGTTTGCTCAGCACTCCCCACTCTCACTAGAATGCCAGCTCCTTGAGGGCAGGGACTGTATCCACAGCCCCTAAATTTGTTCTTGGCCCATTGTAGGTGCCTAATACATATGTTTGAACAAATGAAGGGGTAAACATGTCATTTAGTCCTTATAATAATCCCATTTCATGAATTCTGCTAAGTTGAATGCAAGACAAAAAGTAAGAAACTGGACAAAGAGGGCCTTTTATATTGATAAAAGGTGCAGTCAACAATAACTATATAATAATTGTAAGTAGGGCACTGAGTAACACTATGCCAATGTAAATAAAACCACACTTGATAGAACTGTGAAAAGACAGAGGCCACATAGTACAGTGGTTAAGAGTGCTTGGGGGCCAGTTGCCTGGGTTCTGATCCTGCCTATTCTTTCGAGCTGTGTCACCTTAGGCAAATCATTTAACATTTCTGTGTCTCCATTTCCTAATCTATAAAACAGGGATGATAATAGTATCTACCTTGTAGATTTGTTGTGGGAATTAAGTGAATTAATTCATGGAAATAATTTATGGAAAACACTTAACGCAGCACTTGACAGGTGATACAGACTCAGTAAATACTAGTTATCATTTTTTTGAAAGAGGATTATGGGGGAAAAAAAAGAGAGAAAATCTCTTTTTTTTTTGGTATGGAAGATTGGCTGTGAGCTAACATCCGTGCCAATCCCCCTCCATCTTTTATGTGGGACACCACCACAGCATGGCTTGATGAGCAGTGTGTAGGTCTGCACCTGGGATCCAAACCCGCAAACCCTGGGCCGCCAAAGCGGAGCACGTGAACTTAACCACTGTGCCACTGGGCCAGCCCTGAGAGAAAATCTCTTTTAACACAACATGTAGACAAAAAATAAAAAATAAAAAGAGGCTAATTACAATCCATCACCACACACATGTGCCTAATCATCCCTTTTGCCCGAGTGGTGAACATGATGTAATCTATGCAGAAATAGAAGTATAATGATGTACGCCTGAAATTTATACAATGTTATAAACCAATGTTACCACAATGAAAAAATTAATTTAAAAAAAATAAAAAAATAAAAATAAACAGAGGCTTTAAAAATGTAATTAAAAGTTGAGCATGGCCGGCCCCGTGGCTTAGTGGTTAAGCGCACGCGCTCTGCTACTGGCGGCCCGGGTTCAGATCCCAGGCGTGCACCGATGCACCGCTTCTCCGGCCATGCTGAGGCTGCGTCCCACATACAGCAACTAGAAGGATGTGCAACTACAACATACAACTATCTACTGGGGCTTTGGGGGAAAAAAGAGGAGGAGGATTGGCAATAGATGTTAGCGCAGAGCCGGTCTTCCTCAGCAAAAAGAGGAGGATTAGCATGGATGTTAGCTCAGGGCTGATCTTCCTCACACACACACACACAAAAAAAAAGAGTTGAGCATATGAACATACCCTAGGATCCTGCCGAGACTATATCTTTTAACAAACATCCATGGACGCCAATGAAGCTGATCATGAGCTAGGCCAGAAACCTGAGTAACTGACCCAAAGGAGGAGGTGTACTGCTACACTCCAGGGATGGGGAGGCCTCTGGAACGTGTATAGGGGGAAGTGATGTGATCTGATTTACATCTTGAGGAGAGATCACTGTGGCTGCTGTGTGGAGACCAGGAGTGCAGGGGCAAGAGCCATAGCAGGGAGGCTCATCCGGAAGCTCCCACAAGTGTCTAGCTTAGAGATGATGGTGGCTTGGACGAAAGCATTAGCAGCGGAGAATGTGAGGAGGTGAGGAGCTGTTGGCTGGTATCCAGATTTTGAAGGTGAAGCTGACAGAACTTGTTGATTGAACAGAGAGTGTGAGTCAAGGGGAAGCGATGGTGACACTGGGCTCTCTGTCAGGGATGGAGAACAGAGAAGAGGAGCAGGTTTGGTGGAGGAGGTGGAAGCAAGGGGATCTGCTTTTAACCTGTTCTGTCAGTTTCCTAGGGCTGCCATAACAAAGTCCCTAAAACTGGGTGGCTTAAAACAACAGAATTTTGTCTCACAGTTCTGGAGGCTAGCAGTCCAAAATCAAGGTGTTGGCAGGCCCATGCTCTCTCTGACAGCTCTAGAAGAAAGTCCTTCCTTACCTCTTCTAGCTTCTGGTGTTTGCTGGCAATCTTTAGTGTTCCTTGGCGTGTAGATGCATTGCTCCAGTCATGTGGCTATCTTCTCCCTATGTGTCTTCACATCATCCTCCCTTTGTGCCTATCTGTCTCTGTACCCAAATTTCCCCTTTTTATAGGGACACCAGTCATGTTGGATTAGTGTCCACCCTAATGACCTTATTTTTACTTGCTTAGCTCTGCAGAGACTCTATTTCCAAATAAGGTCATATGCTGAGGTCCTGAGAGTTAGGACTTCAGCACACCTTTTTGAGGGGTGGACAGAATTCAACCCATAACACCTGTTAAATGTGATTGTCTGTTAACTATTCAACTGCAGATATCAAGTGGGGAATTAGATGGCTATATTGTCCATTTGGCTTTCACCCAATCTTTCTGTCTTATAAATAATACTATGATAAGCATCTTCAGGTATACAGATTGTTCTGTATTTTGAATTTTGTTTTGGAATAGATTTTCAAAAGAAGAAGCCTCTCGATATATATTATTAAAATATTTTTAAAAAGTGTGACATCAGTTATAAATTTAGCATTCTACAGAGGATGGAGGATATGATGAAGTGCAGAAAAATTTACATACAGAGCAACAGGAAGTCAGGAGAATTCCTATCGCCTGGCTTCTATTTTCTTAATTTAGTACATTTCCCTCCTGGCACTGCTAGACACTGCTTAAGCAAGAATTTAGCTTAAGAATTTCCAAGCGTTAAGTAACACAGTTGTGTAACCTCAAAAAGCTAGAGAACCACATCCTGATGTATGCAAAATACATATGTGCTCATTTTACTAATGAGATTGTCAGTAAATTTTGTTTTAGATCTTAGAAACATTCATTCGTTTATTCTTTTATTTACTCATTTTCATTTAAAAATAGTTTTTTGCTTCTATTATAACCCAGCCACTAGATGCTGGGTTTCAACAGGAACTAAGACAAATCAGCTCAGATAAATTGTAGAGCAATTTACAGGCAATTAACTGGTGTGATAAGTATGACCCTATTGTTAAAACCAGGGTGCTATTAGGGCATGAAGAAGGGGCACCTAACAGTTTGAGGGCGGGTGGGGTGCGGGGAGGTTATATGGGAGAGGAGAGTTAGGAAATAACATACAAATGCCGCAAGTGTAATACTAGTAACATTTAAAATATATTCTCTATTTTAGTGCTGCAATAGTATTTTCCACGCTTAGACTTCTCCAGGATTCAAAACTTTTTAAAAAGAAGGGAGTCCAAGATGATACAGAGAATTCCTCCTCTACAGGAGCTTCTGTATGTATGAATTTAATGTTTATCCTTACAATACTTATTGTCTATTAACTATTGGCATGCTACGAAATTGTCTAGTTAATTATTTGGATGAAACAAGGGGTAAAGTAGAAAAAGCATTGAATTCAGAGTAAAAAGATCTGTGTTTAAGCCCTGTCGATGCCATTTATTAACTGATCTACCTTGGCCAAGTCCCTTAAACGTTTTTTTTTTTTTTTTTTTTAATTTTGTAATCTCATTTGTGAACTGATGGAATTGGATGTAATAATCACTGAAGTCCCACAAGAGGTATCATTCTAGTATTCTAGATCTGATTTCACTAGTAAATAAAGTTGTTTCACAAGACTTGCTCTTCATTTCAGTTTTGAATTCGTTACTTCTTCAACCTTATCAGTATGGCACCTGCGCTGTTTCCCACTTTGCATTTCTCAGAGTTAGATTCTTCCACATTTGAGCTCTCAAATATATTTGACAACTGGTGTTGCACATTCTTTGAAATTTTATTGGACTTTGATAAGATCAAGTAACTTAAAATTATAGGGTTGTTTGGGATTAAAATATAAAGATTCATCACATAGAATCTTTGCTCATTATTTTAAGCTTTACTAATAAAATCGCTAATATCTAGTGTTCATTACAAAAAGCAAAACTGTCCTAAATAGAGACTCATTTCATACTATATTAAAAGCAACAAAAATGCTAAAAAGCAATCTAATTCTAAAAATTGACTTAGAGCAGTGGTTGTCAACTGGGCTATTTTGCTTCCCAGGGGACGTTGGCAATATCTGGAGACATTTTGGTTGTCACAACTAGAGGGGGCTTACGGCATCTAGTGGGTAGAGGACAGGGATGTTGCTAAACATCCTATAATGCACAGGACAGGCCCCCACAACAATTATCTGGCCCAAAATGTCAAAGATTGAGAAACCCTGATTTAGATTGAGCATAACTTGGCTTTTCAATAGTAACAGGAATGTAGGCATTGAGAGATTAAGGTATGTTGACGGGCAGTTTTTCTGTATTTCTAATCTAAATACTAGACTCCTTGAGTACTTGGTGTGCCCATTCTAATCACCATCCTCCCTTAGGGCCTCTCTTCACTTCTTGCTCTGTTTCCAGGAAAGGCTCACCCTCCTCTTCTGTGCTTCCCCTGTCTATCACATTCCAGCCACCCTCAAGTCACCATAGCTAATCCTTGATAGCAGATGTTGCTGGTTGGTTGGAGATGAGTTGTCAGAGATGTGTAGCAGGAAATTCCTAGAACAAATGGGCATTATCCTAGATGATTTTAAAGTACCAAAGTGTCTGAGATTGATTCTCCTCTGGAAAAAGTTCCCTTTGCAATTCTCTCCCAGTATCTCTGAACATTGGCCACCCCTTTATAAAGTGTAATAATGAAGGTGGTGAGTCAACTGTAATTTATGTTTGGGATGTGAGCAGCATACAGCAATATAACACAATGGATTAAGATGGTGGGCTCTAAATTCAAAAGACACACGTTTGAATCCCACCTCTGCCAAAATATGGTGGAGTTTAAGCAAATAGTTCACCTTTCTAGGTCTCAGTTCTCCCATCTGTAAAACAGAAATAATAATAGCCCCCCTTGAGCTTGTCAGGAGGATTAAACGTGATAATGTGCATAAAGCATGTAGCATGGTGCCTGGCACATAATAAGCCCTGAATAAATGTTAGCCAGTATTATTTATTCTTTTTCAGCCTTTAAAATGATATTTACAAAATTTTTGAAGACATGGAAACTGCTGCTAATATAATTTTCAATGAAAAATTCAACTGCAAAACTATTTCTTAACAGTGGGTGTAGAAAGAAAAAGAAAAGCTGAAAAGCAGTGTACGAAATGTTAATAGAGGATTGTGGGATGATTTTATTTATTTGCTTTTGTATGTATGTTTTATTTTATAGAATGTGCAAGAATAATTTGTAAAATTAAAAATTTAATACTATTAAATGATATCAAATGCTTCTCTTAACTTACGTTATATTTAGCATTAGGCTAGAACTCTGACATTATGAAATGGGAAGATAACCATCATTTCCATATTGTTTAGGCCACTGAAAATAAAGACGATAATGAGTTTTTAGATCCTATTTCCCTAAATTCTCGAGAATATTTCAACATTCATCTGTGGTTGAGGTGCCGCTTAGCATTGGTGTCTGCGTTTGTTGCACAGATTCGTGGCATTGGAATCGTAAAAGGTACAAAAAATATCCTATTTTCTTAATCAAAGTTTTCATAAAAATTAATTTTATTTAGGTAACAGATGTTTTATTGGGATATATTTTATTGTAACATTAACATTTTGTAACTTTCTCGCTTGATCTGTTTCCAGAATTAAAAATTCAGGTTATTGAATAAGAATAATCATTTTCAACAGTCCTTTGTGTCACTGAAAATGACATATATGTTAATAATGTATGCAAAACAGGCAAGGAGATTTCAGAAGAGCAATGTGCGGTCTTGGTGTGGTCTAGGAGGGCAGTATGGGGTAGCGGTCCAGAGCACAGACGCTGGAGCCACCCCACTTGGGTTCAAATGCTCTCACCACCACTTCCTTACTAAGTGATCTGGGCCAAGTCTCCTAATCCCCCTATGCCTCAGTTCCTCCTCTGTAAGATGGAGAAAATTGTACCTACTGCATAGACTTATTGTCAGAATTAAATGGGTTCAATTTATAAAATTCTTAGATCACAGCCTGGCACATATAAATGTTAGTTCTTGCAGTGATTAATAATTGTCTATTTGTAAACCTATCTATCCACCTATCTCTATCCATTTCCCAAGTTAAATTATTTCATATATCATTATTACTTTTGCAGCATTGGAATACCCTAAAGTTCTTCCCCTAAAGTACAACACATTTATTTTCAATGTTTCATGGAGAGTCTATTTGTTTTCCATCATTATATCTTCCTGTTCTTCTATATTATACAATATTCCTGTGATGAACCCTGGCGATATTGTGCGTATGTAATTTCTCACTTTCTCAGTGCATTTTAAGTAACTGCGTTTGTTTATTTTAGAAAATGATATGACAGATTATGGGAGCCTCATCAATGAAGTGTGTGTGGAGGCACAAAGTGCAGGCGACAGGGAGCTACAGGCTGAATTCTTGATGCAAGCTGTAATCATTGGCCTGCAAGAAAAGCATTTAAAGGCAGACATCATAACAAACCTTCAGGTAGGAAGGGAACCTCATTCCCTTTGATATTTACCAAAGGATTCCAGTTAGAGCAAAAAGAGAGAATTTTGAATTCCATTAGGTACTGAATGTCTAACAGTCAATATGGCCAGCTCTTGTTTCAGGGAATTGCAAGTGGTTCTATCAAAAGGAATAATTTTATTTTAATAGGAAATAATACATCTGCTTGAAGGAAGTGAGTTTATTTCTCCTCGATCTTGTTTAACCTTGGTGAGAAGTATGCTTTTGCTGGATGATTTAACAAAAGCTGAGAAATTCAAGGAAACTCCCTCTTCAAAAACAGACAAATTAAATTTGTTGACTCGGTCTCACAACACTCTTATCGAACAGGTGAGCATGCTTTTGTGTCCACAAGACTTAAAAACTTACTTTTCTGTCTTTTTCTTATTCCAAACCACCTTAACTAATTACTTATTACACTGTTTTTTAATAGATGCTAACTTTTGGAGAAAAAATTGAATGCCCTTTATCAAACACTGACTATGCAAGTCCATTACAGCCTTTGAAAAATATCTATCTTCCTCATGTCATGTTATTGGCCAAAACAAAGATGAGAATTGGTAAGAAGACTTAAACATGTATTATACTCAAGTCACTGGTGAAAAATTTTAAGTTATTTTCAGGCATGCTATTATATGAGTGTGTTTATATGGGGCAAAATTTATGAATACCCAGGATCCATTTAACAAATAGTTTTTGGTCACTTACCATGTGCCAAACTTTGTATGAGGTCCTGGGAAGTTAGTGGAGATTAAAACAGACGTAATCACTGCTCTTGGTGTGGGAGACAGAAATAAACAAGTAAATAAACCATATGTAGGAGTACATATTATATCATATGTCATATCATGTTCTAAATATTATATAAAATAAATGTGTATTTGATAGAACTACTAGACAGGAAATCAGCAAAGATATAGGAAGCTTATATTATATATGATAATGAATTATGTATATGTATAGAATGATAAATTGTGATAGTGTTATGGAAGGTGTAGGTAAGATCTGCTGATAAAGAATAACAAAGGGAGGGGTGCCTGTTTAAGTAGAGTGATTGGGGAATGCTTCTCTGGGGAGGTAGTATTTAACCCTAGACCTTAAATGTGAGTGATGAGTTACGCATAGTGGAGGTAGAAGGAGCAGTGAGTTGTAGGTTCTGAGGACAGGACAAGCTTGACATGTTCTGGAACTGCAAGGAGACCAGTACAGCCAGAGCAGAGTGGGCTGGGGGCAACCTACTGAGAGGAGCTGAGCTGGGAACAGCTTATGTTTCAAAAGATGACCCTGGCTGTTGGGTGAAGAATAGGTTGGAGGGTAGACTGGGGCTGACAAGAGTGGACCTGATTGGGGCTGGTGAACCAGTAAGCAGGAGGCTTACAGCCTCTCAGAAACCAAGGAGGGGCTCACAGACATTGTTTTAAGCTTTCTCCAGGACAGTCTTTGATTTTTGACCCAAGGCTGCCTGCCTCTAGCTCCCAGGCTCTGCTCCAGCTCAGAGGGCAGAAAATCTGGTACCAGCTCTCTCTGTTCTAACCTGTATTAACCATGCCTGTCTCTTTTCTGTATTCCTGATGCTTTGACATCAGGGGTCTTGCTGACCGGGGAGGAACTTCTCCTCCCAGGCTTAGAAACTCCTAGAGATTAGCAACTCTCCTGTGAGCATGCCTTTCAGCCTTTCATATACAAGCTAAACATTCCTGAGCTCACACCCCGAATCTTTGTTGGGCTCCTTTATTGTCCTTTGCTGGGCTCTTACACTCTGGGCCAGGATTTCACTGCCCCAATCACCCCAGGAACAGGTATCAAACTGCTAACTGAGCCCACTGAAATTATTCAAACTAGCCAATCCTAAGCCTGCTTAGCCCGCTTACTCTACCCCACCCATTCCTTCCTACAAAGACCACCATAAAGGTTCTTGTCCACATTTTCCCCTTGCTCCCTCTACCTCCTGACCAACTCTGGTGCTTCCCTTTGTGGCCCTGCATGGGTGGTGTGCCCCCTCCTCTTGGGAACTGTGAGTAACAAACTAGCTTTTCCATGGCAATCGTCTCCTGACCTGTTGACCTCACTGTATTTGACTAATAATAAAACCTACATTTTAAAACATTACCCCTCACTTCCTGGGGCCCATTTGCCTCCTGTGCCAGCAGCTGCTTAGCTCAGGAGAGGCTGATGGTTGGACTGGAATGGGGAGGGGAGGGCAGCAGAGGTGTGCTCAAGCTGTCGTCTGTCCAGAATCTTCTTATTTCCCTTCTGCGCCCCCCATGATTATTATTGATCATTATTACATGATTATCACCATCCTCATCAGATATGAATTTTATCACTTTAGGTAAATCACTTCACTTCTAAATTATTGTTCCCTCTTTTATGAAATTAGGCTGGCCTAGCTGACCTCTAGAATTCCTTCCAGCAACCTGATCTCATGAGAGCTATTTTTCTGCATTTTTAGCCCACAATTTTTTATATTATCAGTGTATTTGATTTCTACAGGAGTTTAAAGTACAGATTGTGTTAAATTGTACAGATTGTGTTAAATCCAATGTGTTCTCTGCATCCCTGTCTTCCTAGTCTTGAAGACGTGTCACCACTCAGTGGCAACACGGCTGCTGTTCTTCAGGCTCACTTGAAGCGGAACAGCTTGCTTTCTGTTATATTATATTAAATACAGACTTAAAAAACAAAACCAAAGGCAGCTTTTCTGTCAAAACAACGTCACTTTCACAACTTCCTTTTCACGGAGTTGATGTTTATTGGAGAAAGGAGCACTTCAATATTATGAAGCATAAAATCATCTGACTTGATGCTTTCTCCACAGTTTTCCTCTACAGTTAGTATAGATCCACTGCAAGAACTGAGGCATTTCAAAAAATGTTTTTCTTTGTGAAAGTCTTTGACAGAAAAAGGCATTTTGAGATTATTTTTATAAAACAAAAAATAAGCTTCATGGTTCTTTAAGATTATTTTTCCCATTAATGACTGAACTTTGAGTTTCCTTATTAGATGGAAAAGTAGATTGCTGATTTATAATAGGAGTGAAGAAGTTGCAAGAATGATGCTGGGGATTGGGGATATAAAAGGGAGCCAGTCACCATCTCTGCCTTCAAGGAGTCTGTTATCTAGTTAAGGAGAGAGAGAAGACAGTCAACAATTCTTTTTCTAATTTTTTTTTTTTTTTTGCTGAGGAAGATTGGCCCTGAGCTAACATCTGTGCCAATCTTTCCTCTATTTGGTATGTGGGTCACCGCCACAGCATCGTAGGTCCATGCCTGGGATCTGAACTGGCAAACCCTGGCCACCCAAGTGGAGTGCGCCAAACTTAACCACTACACCACTGGGCCGTCCCCTTCTTTTTCTAATTTTAACAAAAATCTAGAAGACAATTCAAGTACTGTTATTAATAAGTGCATATATATAAGTGCTTGATGACACTCGAAGATACTTGATATTTTTGTCTTATATTAATGAACAGCTATAGCATAATTTAAAACAGTAAGCAAAGCATATAAACATGGGAGATGTATTGAAATATGAGCTTGTATTGGGTAAATGGTATTAGCATATCCTTGCCTGGGATCTAATTACAACTGGTAATTGTTGGGGTTAAGAGAATGGACTCTGGAGAAAGAATTCTGGTCCAGTTGCCTCCAGAGAGTCATTTCAATTCTCTATGTTTCGATTTCCTCTCCCATAGATGTGGATAAGAAAAGTACCAATCTCACTGGCTTGTTGTGGGATAAAGCGGGCGGAAAGTATAACGTGTCCAGAAGGGCACCTGGCTTGTTCTAAGAGCTTTGTAGGTGTTAGCTATTCTCATTATTCCATGCTTGGTCTCCTCACTCTCCTTGGAGCCCCCTGGAAGCAAGGCCTGGTTTCTTTATCTTCGTGTTCTCAGCAGTGTGCTACTATCTTGCCTCGTCCAGAGTAAAGGCTCTATAATTTCTCCCTAGATAAGAGAGAGAGAGAGGGAGAGAGACACTTTCCCCATCATCTTGCCATTCGTACAGCACATTCCTGAATTAAAAATTTACAAAAAGTCCTAGGTTTCTTGAAAATTCTGTAGGGCATAGCATCTTGGAATTGAAAAATTTCAGAACCCAAAGGAACCTCAGACATTTTCTGGTTCTGCTGCCTCCTTTTTCAGAGGAAGACACCCAAGGCCCAGAACGTTCAAAGCCTCAAATGACACGGTAGCACCGATGACTGGCTCAGACCCAGCACTTCAGCTGGAACCCGGCCACTGTATCATTCTGCAATCCTACACTGCCTTTCTGTTTACATTCTTCTACTGTGCATGTTAAACTATCATCTCAGTGTAGCATTTCCCCCAGTTGCCTTCTACTCTTTATTCCAACATAGTTCTTTAAAATTACCAAAAGACAGTGCGATCACCAGCTGCCAGCCTTGACGGCACATTCTCGGGGAAGGCTTCCCTGACTTGTCCCAGGTCTGGGCCGGAGCTCCTGTAACCTGCTGCCCCAGCGCCCTGTGCTTTCCCTGCCGCACAGTTGACCACACAGCATTGTGATTGCCTGTCTGGCTATTCTCATTCTCCATTAAACTCTAAGCTCCATGATCTCCCTCTGAAGGGGCATTGCAGTGTCATAGTTTAGGATGTAGGCCGTGAAGATAGACTGCCTAGGATCACATCACGGCCCTGCCACTTTCTAGTCATGTGACTTTGGGCAATTTACTTAAACCTCGCTGTGCCGCTGCTTTCTCTTCTGTAAAATGAGTATAGTAATGATGTTCACTCAGTTGGGAGGATTACATGAGATAATGCTTAAGTACTTGGGATGGTACCTGGCATGTAGGAAGCACTTAATAAACCTGGCTCTTATTTTTCTCTTTTCTCATTTTTATCCAGTGCCTAAGTACTCAGAAAATATTTGTTGAATAAATATCTGTCTGTCTGTCTTTGAGGCCACACAGATTTAATCTAGTGCCTCTTCAGCAATACAACAATCCTTCATTATGCAAGTGATGATGGGACCACACAAGAAGTACAGCATGTGACCCTTGTCCTTAGTGGGTTTGCCACCTAGTTGGAATGACAAAATATATATAGTAAGCAACCACTATAGAGTTAAATAGAAACAAAATTATTGCCTATTAATATATGCAAATTTTAGTCAGAACAACATAAAACTTCATAAAACTTCTAAATGTTTCCCTATTAACAACCTCATCTTAGGAACTTGGAAGTTGTTTTGTAGAGCATCATGAAATTTTAGAACTGAAAGAGACTTGAGAGATTATCCTTCATTTTAACAATGAGAAAATGTTGAAATTTATCAAAGGTAAAGTTTCAAAGGGCTATTGTTATAGTTCATTGAAATATTTGGGTATTGAGTTTCTTTAAAACGTTTCTTAGATGCTAAAAACTAAAGCCCACCAGAGTTCTTCAGAGATGCCTTCCTGTGAGAGAAGTCTGGTAACTTGGAGGCCTGTTGTGAACACTGTATATTTTATTATTCCCTCCCCATCCAACTGTCTTTCTTCAGGACATACAGTGGCCAAGCAAGTATATTATACCAGTAAAAGGAAGGATTCTTCAAAGTGGTTACCTGCTCTTCATCTTTTTGAAATAGCATTGAAGCTCTGTAAGATGTCAGCAACAGAAGAGCCTGAGGTGGAAGCTGAAATACTTTTTCAGAAAGGTAAGATGTATTTGGAGTCAGAACTATGATAAAATTTGTGGCTTTTTTTCCCTATTAACAATAGGCTTCTTGAAAACCTGGTCACCAATGGTAAAAAATGCAGGCTTTACAAAAGGCTTGGTGACGACAAAAACATTGGTACCTCTGCCAGACTCAGTCTTAGATAGAGAGAACACTGCATATTTTATCTTTATATCTAGAAAGAAAAAAAGTATTACTTCTTAGTGTCTTTTGTAATTACAGTGACCCTCCTTACATAGTTTCATGTTTGACTGAAAAATGTCAGCATCAGACATTTAGCTATAAATAATATTACTTAAATAATGCTTGGAAGATATTTTATCTGCATGATTTCATTACTTAGCTGAGCATTTTAGTTAATTTCTATAAGAGATACCCGTTTAAATTAAATAGCTATAGTGTACCTATGTTTATAACTTATATTACACATATTTGCATAATACAGTCATATAATGTTATGGTGGCCATTTTAGCCATGAGAAAAATGATGATGATGATTGCTACCGTTTATTGAGCATCTACTAGATGTAGGCTCTGTAGTCAGTGTTGTACATCTCATATTGCTAAATCCTACAACAGCTCTACAAGGTAGGCATGACTAATCCTGGTTGACAGATGAGGAAAATGAGGTGCAGTCCGGTTAAGTAACTTTCCAAAAGTCAGCAGCTACTAAATGATAGTGCCCAGATGTGATCTTAACACTGGGTGACTCTGTGCCCTGTCCACATGCTGCATGGTAACTGTGAATCTTTTTTATAGTGATTATAAGATTTCCCTTTCCTGCCCTTTTTGCTACAGAGGTGCCATTCCAGCACCTACATTTGAAGGCCTCTGCTCACCATGAGGGCTGGGAGCTGTGTGAGAACGAGAGCACTTGCATCATCCATGGTGGTTTTCAAGCCTTTGCTGAGTTTTTGCGATTTGTTTTTAGCAGAGATTTTTTTGTGTGAGGAAGATCTGCCCTGAGCTAACATCCATGCCAAGCTTCCTCTTTTTCCTGAGGAAGACCGGCCCTGAGCTAACATCTATTGCCAATCCTTCTCCTTTTTTTTTCCCTTTTTCTCCCCAAAGCCCCAGTAGATAGTTGTATGTCATAGCTGCACATCCTTCTAGTTGCTGTATGTGGGACACAGCCTCAGCATGACCAGAGAAGCCGTGCGTCGGTGCGCGCCCGGGATCCGAACCCGGGCTGCCAGTAGCAGAGCGCGCGCACTTAACCGCTAAGCCACGGGGCCGGCCCCCAGAGATATTTGCTATGTTGTCTGTGATAGTAGACAGAGGAAAGAGGAAAATGGATGTGGGAAAAGGGAATGAGTATTACAGGAGGAAGGGGAAGCACAAGGTAAGGAAATGGAAAGAATAGTAAGACGGTAAGAACAGTTGTGTCTGGAAAGCCAAAGGAGACTGACTCAGTGTTGCTAACCGAAGGCAAGGGCAGCCTTGAGACTCCTGGGGAAGGAAGCAGAATCTTTCCCCACTGGCTTACCTTCCAGCAAGGAACAGCAGACGACACAAAGGACGGCACATCCAGTTTTCTGAATTCCCAGCGTGAAATATTTGTTCTGAATGATAGAAAAAGGAAAAACTATCTTTTTTTTAAATCTTTTTCTTCTTCCAGGCAAAATAGAACGTCAAATATTGATGGAAGAGAAATCTCCAAGTTCACAACTTGAGAGTTTATTTGAAGCTATACAGCTAAGCTTGAGACACGATCAAAATGCACGGTAAAAAAATATCTTTTCATTATTGTAACAATGTGTGTTTTGGTTTGAGCCCCGTGATCTGGTAGTAGGTTGAATATTCAAGGCTGAAACGATTGGAGACCCTCTTCCCATCGCAGAGCTAGTTCGCTGGGGTTCACTGTCCAACAGTCTTACTGACTTCCATTGCAAGCTTGTTGCTCCTGGCTCTGACCCAAGGCCTTGTTTACATGATGGTTGATGATAGCGACTATCATGGTGGCATACTAGACTGAATTGCTTCTAGTCTGTGTTCAGATAGATCTCCTGTCAGTCCCAGGATCACAGGGGCCTCCCCTGGATATGAAATTGTATCTAGAAGGGATTTGTGTGGATATTCACTCTGGTCAGCAGTACCAGGGCTGGCCGATTTAATTCTGTATAAAAGTCACCTCAAGACTGAGAGTAAGCCGCCATTATTACAATTGCATTGATCTAAAAGGCCCCAAATGACAGGTTTGATTGTGAATACCCAGGGCTAACTCCTACAAAATCACTGCTTTCTGCATGACTCTATGTGTTTCTTTTGATTTTAATTAAGGTAGGAGGGTAAGAGAGAGAGGCCTGGTTTTCAAGGCAGGTTCCTCCAGTCCTGATCTTTACTTCTTTACTGCCTTGTGTGCTGGAATATTCCAGAATGGTCTCTGCTGGCTTCATAGCAGTCATGGCATGAAGTGTTGCCAGCACAGGACAAGGTGGAATGCTCAGCTCCCATCAAGAGCTTCCAATTTCAGTAGGGAGGAAGATGCCAGTGTTTATGCCAGAAGCGTTGTGAAAAGAAGGTGTGAGTTTGGGACAGATGCTGGTTTTGCCTATTTTTTTGGTGTGTGTGTGAGGAATATCAGCCCTGAGCTAACATCTATGCCAATCCTCCTCTTTTTGCTGAGGAAGACTGGCCCTGAGCTAACATCCATGCCCATCTTCCTCCGCAGCATGGCCTGACAAGTGGTGTGTCGGTGCGCACCCGGGCCGCCAGCAGCAGAGCGCATGCACTTAACCACTACGCCACAGGGCCAACCCCTGGTTTTGCCTATTTTTCCCTTTCATTAGCTCAGAAATTGTTGGCAAATGATGCAAAATGATTATGAGTGGTGAAGCTATTTAATAAGTACAATGCTATATCATTTTAGGTTGATAAGAGACTCCTACCTTGAAATGGCTCTATTATTTTTACGTATAAGGAAGCTAAAGAGCAAACTTTCAGCACCACCATTAACACGTAAGGTAATAAAATATTTTATTAGAAATTTTTAGTTAATTGCCTTTGAGCTTGTATTTTGATAACACTGTGCTATTGAAATAATGAGACTGATTTTCCCGTGTGACTTGGAGAAATCAATTCATTACTTTATAGTCACACTCATATTTAGATACCTCTTTGGCTATTTTATGTAAGGCTCTGGAAATAGATTTCATGTAGAAATTTTTGCCTGTTAAAATGTTATCCATGAAATGTAGGTGTACATAAATATGCAAAGTCATTAGTATTGGTCAGGAAATTGCAGGAAATGACAGATTGCTGAAGCAGATGGACAAGTAAGGTTTTCATTACTGATATAGCCTACAAACAGATCACCTTTTTATAGAGTCATTCATTCATTCATCACATATCCATTGAGCACCTACTGTGACCCAGAGAATATTCTGGAAGGTGATTAAGCAGTGTATGAGACAAACTCAGTCCTTGTTCTCATCGAGCTTACCTTTTAGTTGAAGGAGACAGACAATAAACCAGTAAAGAAAGGAAGCAAGAGGAAGACAGTTGGGAGGGAGTAAGGGAGAAAGAGAAGAGAAGGAAGGGGGGATGATTTATGTAGTGAAATTTTGGATTGGGAAATAACTTGGGTTGATGGGTTTGTGAATGACTGTGGTGGGAGGAGGTGATTTCAAGCTGGGACCTGATGGATGAGGAGGGAGCCGTGGAAGAGTTGTAGAGGCACACGCTATCTGGAGCAGTGCTTCCCAACTATATGGCAGAAGCATCCTTGGGGATCTTGTGAAAAGGCAGATTCTGGGTCAGTAAGTAGGGGATGGGGTCTGAGATTTGGCGTTTCTAAGGAGCTCTCAGATAATGCGGATGTTGCTGGTCTGTGGACCGCACTTGGGTACAAGGCTCTAGACTGAGGGAGACCCTAGAGGCAGGAAGTTGGCTGGGTTGGAGGTATATGAGCCTAGTAACTTTTAGTTTTTATTATTTAAATTTTAGTAGGATTTTTATATGTCATCCTAATTAAATAATCCTTTGACCTACCAAAAGATCTTTTCAGAAAATTTGGGTGTCAAATCTCTAATTTTTGAGACAGCATAATTATGATTTAAAACCACTGGGCAAATAGGTTTTCTGTCAACTGAACTATTCATATGGTAACTGCCTTAGGTGGATAGCAGCTATTTTTTTTTCATCAAAACGATTACACAGAAAACTTACTTTTTGTGGTGTGATAAACATGTTTATTTCCAGTAAGAGAAAACAAAAATCTTTGTTTCCATAGCAAGTAGCCATGCAAATTAATAAGATGCTAGGATAATGATGTATTACCTTTTTGGCCTTTCCTTGAGAGGTGTTTATAATTAGGAGCTTGAAGAAGTTAGGATTTGAATGAAAAGGATAGTATAATTCCATACAATATGATCATTATTTTCTGGATATCTTGACGCAGTATAAATATTTTAGCAAATCATACAAATCCTAGATATACAGAAAATAGCCCAACCCAAACAAACAAAATTTCATGCACATTCAGATAATTGAAATATAACATTTGAAATTTGTCCTAATAAAAACAATGCTTTATAAACCCTTAAAAGAAAGCACTGTTGTTTTACTTTTACAGTGTACATACAGCAGAGTGACCACAACACTGGTTTGGGGATTGAATCCTAGCTTCGTGATGCACTAGCAGTGTGATTGGGGCCTTTCTAAGCCTAGTTTCCTTGTCCGTGAAATGGAGATGATGATACTTACCTCTTAGAGTGGCAAGGAAAATTAAACAAGGTTGTGGGCTTGGCACGTAATAAATACTCAGAAAAAAAGAGGAAGGGACTATTCTCTATCATTTTGTAACTTCCTCTAAACATCTACATTCTATCTTTCTAAAGTATTTTGTATGTAGTAAGTATTCAATAATTATTTGTTAGTTAAATTGAATTGACTATTTCTTGAACATTCATTCAATAACCAAACACTTATTGAGTGCTTAATGTATGCCAAGCATGTTACTCTCTTTCCCTAAGGAGCACAGAGGAGCAAGGGAGAGAAATAATTGTATCGCAATGTAATGAGGACTGTAATCAAGATGTTGTCAAGGTAGAGAAGTGGAGCAAAGTAGGGACTAGTTCTGCTTTGGGGGAATGCTGGAGAAAGCTTCACCATGAGATGAATTTTGAAGATGAGTAGAAGTTTTCCAAGTAGTTAAATGGGAGAAAAATAGTCCAAAGAGAGAGATCAGCAAGCGCATATTTTAAAAACGTATTTATTGAGGTATAACTTACATCTATGAAGCTAGCCTGTTTTAAGTGTGAAGTTCACAGATGTTAAGTAACTTTACAGAGTTGTGCAACTATCACCAGCATCCAGTTTTAGAACATTTCCATCATCCCCAAAAGATCTTCCTGCTCATTTGTAGTCATTCTCATTTCCATTCCTAGCCCCAGGCAGCCACTAATCTGTTTTCTGTCTCTATAGATTTGCCTTGTATGGATATTTCCTATAAATGGAACCATGCAATATGTAGTCTTTTGTGCCTGTTTCTTTCACTTACCATTATGTTCTGGAGGTTCACCCATGTTGTAGCATGTTACTGTAGTTTGTTCCTTTCTATTGCTGAATAGTATTTCCTTATATGGATATACCACATTTTCTTTATCTGTTCAACAGTTGGTGGGAATATGAATTGTTTCTACTTTTTGGCTATTATGATTAATGCTGCTTTGAACACTCATATACAGGTTTTTATGTGACCATGTGCTTTCAATTCTCTTGGGTGTATACCTAAGAATGGAGTTTGCTGGGTTATATGTCAACTCTATGTTTAGCCTTTTGATGATCTGTCAGATTGATTTTCAAAGCGACTGTACCATTTTGTATTTCCACCAGCAGTGTGTGAGAGTTTCAATTTCTCCACATCTGAGCTAACAGTTGTTATTATCTATCTTTTTGATTGTAGCCATCCTAGTGGGTATGAAGTGGTATTTCATTGGGATTTTCATTTTCATTTCCCTGATGGCAAATGATGTTGAGATCTTTTCATGTGCTTATTGGCCATTTGTATATCTTTTTCGGGAAAATGTCTATTTAGATCCTTTGCCCATAACCTAAATTGTCTTTTTTATCGAGTTGTAAGTTTTTAAAATATATATTCTAAACACAAGTCCCTTATCAGAGCAATGTTTTGCAAATATTTTCTCAAGTTGGTAGTTTGTCTTTTCATGTTGTTAATGGGGTCTTTGGAGACAAAAAAGTTTCTAATTTTAATGAAGTCCAATTTATCATTTTTTTCTTTTACATATTGTGCTTTTGGTGGCATATCCCAGAACTCTTTGCCTAACCCCTGATGTTGAAGATTTTTGTCTTATGTTTTCTTCTAGAAGTTTTATAGTTTTAGCTTTTATGTTTGTCTATGATCCATTTTGAATTAATATTTGTGTAGAGTGTGAGGTAAAGATCTGAATTCATCTTTTTGCACATAGATATTTAGTTGTCCTGGCATCATTTGTTGAAAAGACTATCCTTACTTTATCGAATTGCTGTGGTACCTTCATCAAAAATTAATTGATCACAAATGTAAACGTTTATTCCTAGACTCCCAATGTATTCTACAGATCTATAAGTCTACCTTTACATGAGTATCCACTGTCTTGCTTACTGCAGCTTTTCGTAAGTTTTGAAATTGGAAAGTGCATGTTCTTCAACTATGTTCTTCTTTTCCAAAATTGTTTTGGCTATGTTGAGTCCTTTGCATTTTCATACACATTTTAGGATCTGCTTGCCAATTTCTGCAAAAAACTAACAGAATTTTGTGTCGAATCTATGGATCAATTTGGGGACAATTGCAATCTTAACAATATTGAATCTTCCAATTTGTGATAAGAACTGTCTCTTCATTTACTTAGATATTAGCTAATTTCTCTCAACAATGTTTTTTACTTTTCAGTGTGCAAATCTTGTACATTTTTGTTAAGTTTATTTGTATTGTGGATGGAACGTTTTCTTAATTTAATTTTCAGATTGTTCATCACTGGCACATAGAAATACAATTGATTTGTATGTATTAAGTTTTGTATCCTGTGACCTTGCTAAACACATTTATTAATTCCAGGTGTGTATGTGTGTGTGTGTCTTGGGATTTTCTATATAGAAGATCATGTCTTCTGTGAACAAAGACAATTTTACTTCTTCATTTCCAATCTAGATGCATCTTTTTTTCTTTTTCTTGCCTGTTTTCATGGGCTAGAATCTCCTATGCAATGTTGAACACCTCCCCTATCTAAAAAAATGCCTGCCGTATTCTTTTCCCAGTCCAAATTTCATTCCGTGCTCAATTCTCACCTTTCGGTAAAGCCTTCCTCTCAATTCAAAATGATCTTTTTTTGAATGTCTGTTTCGCTAATTGTTCTTACATTACAGTTATTTATTGTTATTTTGTGTTCTTCATTTAATGCCAATTAGTCTTGTTTCCAGAATTTAAGTAGGTAAATTGCCCAAGCTTACAGTGCCAGTAAGCTGGCAGTGGCTACCACAGAGCCTAAGTGGTTTCATTATAGCTAATGGCTAGGGTCTTCATATCTTGGGACAGGGCTGTATTGCTTAGAATCCCCATAGGCAGATCTCTCCAGGTATCAACTACCTCCAAGCTTAACACTTGATCTAGGCCAGGCGACACTTGCACATTGCATTTCCTGCTCTGACATTGGCATTACTCATTGCCTTTCGTTTTCCTTGGGAGTCTTGTCGACAGAAATAAAAGAAAGCTATTTTTGTTATTGTTTATTTTATTCTGCAGTTTTGTTGAAAATTTAAAAATTGGCCAATATATGAGCATCAAAAAATTAGAACCAGTCTAATTGAATAGTTTTATCCAGATTAGTTAAATCTTAAAAATTGACTATTAATACTTATTTTAGTTATCTTTAAAAATATATAACAGACAGATACTATGTTGCTGGGGAATTTCTTTCTGTTTACTTCTCTAGCATTCACTTTCTTATGTTTAAAAACTGAATACACACACACACATCCATGGTAAAAATATCTCCATTCATCGTTACTTTTTGCTATTCTATGGAACTTGATGATTACATCGTTCCTTTAATAGTTTCCTAGCTAGAAAGCTGATAGCAAATACCTACCAAAAACCTTTAAGTAATATTCTTATTTCTGACATCTTTACACACAATATATTCAATTTATAGATCCTCTTTTAAAATGGTAAATACTATTTACTTAAAATGCCATTTGTGTTTATTGTTATTCAAATAATGCAAGCTCATTATAGAAAATTAGAAAAAAATGATAAAATTGTTTAATCACCCTTAGAACCTGGGATAACCACTGTTAATTTTCTCTGTTGGTATATACAGGGAATATATGTATGAACGTATCTTTATAAAAATAGATTATACTTTGCATACTATTTTGTAACCTATACTTTTCTTTCCCCAATATATTTTGAACATCTTTTCAAGTCAATAGATACATATATATTATTATTATTAATGGCTACATAGTATTCCACTAAAATGTCCTCTTCAGAAGATGAGAAAATTTATTATGAAATTTTATATCTTTATCATAAAACATTTACCATATTTTTTAGGCTTCTCCCAGAAGGCATAGTTCTGTTCAAGAACCAGTAGTAAATATATTTGAAATGTATAGTTCATTGGCCTGGACTGTGCTAAGAGCTGCTGCACAGGTTGGTATGATTTTCATTTAATCTTTCTCTTTACTGTCATATCTGTATTCTCCACCTACCAGCTGTTAAGGCAACACAATGTATTTATACAAGAGAAAGGAAAATTTCACATTTCGGGGGATTTGTGTCAATGGTGTTTCTTTGGGAAGATTAGAAATACTCTTTGTATGTGTAGTGTTTTTAATCTCTATTAGCCAGACCTGGCTTTGTTTGTTTCAACTTTTCTTTAGTGAAAATATTGACAGTTGCACACGTGCACATCTTTGACGTTTTGACAGATATCTGTCATAGCCAGGTGAGGTGGCCTATTTAAAGTGACTTACACATTAATTAAATTGTCAACAGTCATGATTTGTCTTATTGTGGTATATACTACACGTTGCGGATCACATATTGTTTTTCAGGTTGTCTTTTTTTATCTTCTAATGTGTATTGGATATTATTTTATCAATTTACTTTTTCACACTATTTACCTAATGAATAATCTATGAATTAGAAAGCTTACATTTATCGATTCTAATTATGCATTAATTTTAGGTCAGTGAAGCTGTGCTGGCAATTAACCTACTTATCGGAAAGAGGAATGCTCGAACTGAAAAAGTTAGCCAAGGGGCGTTATCAAATATCCCCGAATTTGCCATTGTGGATCTTTTGTCTTCATACACAGATTATTTACTTGGTATGTTTGAATGTCTAGGCATTTTATAAAATCCTGATATATATAATTTGTAATCAAATCTCGGAGGTTTTTTTTTTTTTTTTGTGAGGAAGATCAGCCCTGAGCTAACATCCATGCTAATCCTCCTCTTTTTGCTGAGGAAGACTGGCTCTGAGCTAACATCTATTGCCAATCCTCCTCCTTTTTTCCCCCAAAGCCCCAGTAGATAGTTGTATGTTGTAATTGCGCATCCTTCTAGTTGCTGTATGTGGGATATGGCCTCAGCATGGCCGGAGAAGCGGTGCATCGGTGTGAACCCGGGCCGGGATCTGAACCCGGGCCGCCAGCAGCGGAGCACGCGCACTTAACCGCTAAGCCACGGGGCCGGCCCTCAGAGATTTAATTGTAGTGATTTTTTGCGTTTTAGCTTAGAGAGGATAATGGTTTAGGGGGCCCTCTGGGAGAAGATAGGGGTCTTAGGGCCTAGCTGTGAAGACAAAGGGAACTCAGCTCTCTGTACATACATACATGTTAGTCAGCTGCTGCATTCAGATGCAGGGCTCTGTGAAAAAATGGTATTTCTTTATATCTGTTTATTTTCCAGTTCACACATATCAAATGAGACCTTTTGGGAATATTTACTTAAGGGACCTTTTCTGATCCTCTAAAATGTGTACTCACTTTCACACTCTCATATAGCTCCCAGTTCTTTTTCTTAGTTATTTTATATTTGTGTGTGTGTGTGTGCATGTGGGTATGCGTATTTGAGCTCTTTCTCTCATTAAATTCTCATCAGCTTCCTGAGGACAGGGACTTTATCTATTTGATTTGCTGCTCTATCTACAGAAAATCACACATTGCTTGCACATAGGAGGCATTCAATATTAATATTTGTTAAATGAATTAATGAATGAGAGTTGAGCAGAATTTAAACTTGACCTCACTACTATTTATTTATGACTCCTTTATTAGTAAACTATAATATAAACCTCTAAGTCAGAGCAGCAGTAACATAAATATTTAACATTCATTTAAGTGTTCGTCCATTCATTCATTTGAAAAATATTTGTTGAGTGCTTCTTGGATAGGTTTTAGGAAGTGAGGTTCTAGAATCTGACTTTCAGACGGACATTTCAGTAGCAACAATATCTAATTTTTCTTGGCGCTATGTGAGCATTGACCCAAAGGGGATGAAGAGTGTTGACTTTAACCTGATGGGGGTGGGAGTGGTCTTCCTAAGGCCTCTGGAATCACATCTGTAGGCAGCATCTTTCTTTGCTGAAGTGTTCTCACCCTTAGCCGAAGAGTCAGTGTCTGAAACTATCCCATTTCTTGGTTCTTTCCTGAAGAATAGGTGGTCCAGACTATTTTCCAACCTAAAAATATTTGCCCGAGGTCAAACCATTAGGTGGAATTTTTATGCTAAGGTGTGTTTTCTTATTTTTATTGCCTTCAATCCGGTGGGATTTTGCTTCATCAGATTTCTGGGCTATGGCCTGGACCCCAGACCAGGTACTTGGTCTTGCTTAGAGTCCCCATAGATGGGCTCTCTGGGGACAAAGAGGGGCAGTCTGGCAGCCCAGCAGCCAGTGGGGGCTGGTCACTGTTTCTTTCTCTTGCTCCTGCCTGGCAGCTCAATTCTCCCTGGTGCAGAATGACAGCAATGTGGTCCTCTTAGAAGCACACATTATTGTTTTGCTATAGAGAGAGTGCAGTATTAATAATGAAAAGATTTCAATTTATACCCTGATCCTGTCAAACCATTTTATTTCTGTCAAAGTCATTGTCCTAATCTGTAGACTGAGGGAATTAGATTTATTTATGGATAAGACTAAAATCTGAAAATTTTAAGACTATGATTCAAAGTTCCAACATTTCTATTTCCTTTTCATACTGGCCCCTTATTACTTCTGAAAGATGTGTCTACTTTAACCTAGACGTTTTCATACTTTTTCAGTTTTTAGGACAGGGATAACAAGCAACTTTCATCTAAAATGCTCTATTAATCAGTTATTGCCAAAGTTATGCTGTATACAAAATGACTCTAAAACTCAGCAGCTTATGAGAAGAAGAACTCGTTCACATCCTCGTCTCGTGTGTTCTGCTTCAGGCCGCAGGTTGAGTTCAGGTGTACTCCATGTACATTTGTTATGAGGCCCAGGCTGAGAGGCAGTGGCTATAGGGCACGTTCTTCTAATGGTACATACCAGAGCAAAAGAGCCAAGACAAATCGCAGAAGCACACTCAAGGCGTCTCTTCACATTACATCCCATTGGTCATAGCAAGTCATATGGCCAAGTCCAATATCAGTGAAGCAGGGAAATACGCTCTGCCTGTAGAGGAAGAAGAGAGATGTGAATGTATGCTGAATGCCAAACTGTCACATAGGACAAGTTCAGTCTGTGGGTAGTGGCTACCTGAGAAGAATACTGAAACCGCATATGGGGAGACAAGAAAAGGTGCTGCTGTGATCAATTAATGATGTCACCCATGGGCACACAATGGGGAATGGCCTCGCCTAACCAGATGATATTAGTTGATCAGTTGAGCAAGTAGTCTTCATCTCAGCTCTGCTTAGTACTAGAATATGCTTTCTTTTTCTATTTCAGTGTTTTTCATAGCATGTTCCAATTTTCAGTTTCCATTTAGTACCATTAGCCCTTCTTTGCTATTTTACCAAAATAGTAATTTGAAATTACCAAATTTTAAAGTTCAATACATTTTACATTTTTCCTTGCCTTAAGAATAATAATTTTTCCCTCCAGTCTTTTCCTACCAGAGTGATAATTAATTCATGTTGATGATTTCCCTCACTTCAGTATTTGGGTAGGAAGGGGGTTCTGAATCCCCACCTGACTGCCGCAAATACCCAGATGGCAAGGAGGCTCATGTTATAATGAATTGCTAAAGGGCAACAACAACAAATAAAACTTGTTTGATTTTCCTTGTATTAGCATAAATTAGCATCCAGGAGAAAACTTCCTCAGTAATCTTAGCTTTAAACAACACTAGCATTGATCTGTATACGAGGTGGTGAACAATATACATTGTTATTGTGTGCAGAGCACGCAATATTTGTATCCAGATATTTCTATCCAGAAAGGAGGAGGAGTCACAGAACACATCAAGGAAGTGGGTCTCACCTTCCATGAGCTTACAGTCATTGGCAATCAGAACAGGCATACACTTAAAATTATATAAATGCATCTTTTAAGAGGACCATATTAATAAAGGCAGATTAATGTATCTTAAGCTAAACGTATACCTTCTGAGGGGAGCTGCACATGGGCAAGACGGGCATAGGAGTTAATTAGGAACTTTTTTTCTGGGAGAAATATATTATGGGTCAGACATAAATGTACTAGAGACATAGGGTACCAGAGAGGAGGGGAAGCACATTTTCTCAACAGAGCCATTGATGATCAGAGAAGCATGATGACAGAATAGACTAGTCATGTGTGGAGGATGGAATATAGATAATCTTGCCAGAAGCAGAGAGCAATTGTACGATATCTGTAGGACAAAAAGAGAACTTAGTGATGCAGCTGGTCCAATTTCTTGAGGTTTCCTCTACGTTGTCTTGTAGGAATAGAGACCCTGAAATGATGGTACTGGCAATATGGGACCATATTTAGAGTCAATGCAAAAAACATTTATTAGATGCCTACTTTGGGCCCAGTTATATTCAAATATTCAAATTTTGTCTTGACTTTCCTGTGGGCTTAATAACAAATTCAGCTAGGATAAAAATCATTAAATTCTATAAGACATTTTGAATTAAAAGTGACATTTCAGATTAGTGGTCCTGGTTGCAGCCTTTCATAACTAAATACACATGATATACAGAAAAGTATAAATGTTTGTCATGCTAAAAACTAATGTTGGTAACCTACTGTCAGTATATAAAAAGAGATCTATGGAGCAGAACTGAGAATCACAACTGACCCTTAATATATGCTTTGCCTCTTGAAACAGAGAAAACCTTCCAGTCTGAAAATAACATGATTTATCCCTCCCTTACTGCCTGACCCTAGTTCAGAGACACAGACTGAAAACAACTAAGAACTGGGATGACATTCCTTTACTACTATCTTGATTTCTTCTGTTCCTCCAAGACACAATTCCCCATAGTAGAGGGGAACTAGGGGGGAGCATTACATCCTCAAATCCCAGATAATTACCCCACTTACAGGTGGGAATGGGGAAAATTATTCATGCTAGCAACAGTGATGTTTGTGCGTGGGTATGCGTGTGCGCATACTCTCTGTATCAGTTCAGAGTATTAGCTATTGAGACAATTGGGATGATGAGAACCATCCTCAGTGAAGCAGAGCTGTCCTGGTCCAATGCCTGCAAGAGTCCAGAAATGCCACTCACAGCTTTGCACATTGATCACTTAAATCTGAGAGGGACAGTACCATGACCAGGAGCAGAGCATACATTCTCCACTCTATTCTCAGACACTAGATATGAAGAGACTGTCTTTATTCTAGGTAAAGTCAACAATGGAAATTAAGAAACAACAGATCACACAGGTGAGAAAACATTGCCAAAGGAGCACAATGGAATGCTATCCTAAAGACTTCCTAAATGCTATCCAGAGGAAGATTGACCCTTCAGGGAACAAAAGGAAATGTAACAAGATTGTTTGGTATCCTTGGCAGGGCCCAAGCAGTCAAAGACTGACACAATGACAGAAGGTGCCAGATAACAGTGGGGCGAGTGGCCCCTGATACTATGTGCTAATGCTTTCTTATGTGATTTCACTTATCTTTTAGGAAAATTCTGTGAAAGTGTTGTTACCCACATTTATTAAATGAGGCAAGGTACTCAGAGAGGTTGTGTAAGTTGGGTAATATTGCACTGCTAATCCAAACCACAGTCTATGCAATCCTAAAGGCTGTGCCCTCAATCATTGTGTTGGGTATGATAAGAAAGTAGCACCAGGAAATCAAAATGCAGAATTGATGCTTCTGGTCAACCTGTTGGACTGAGCTGACATGAAAGATGCTTCTGCCCTT